AAGTTTCAAATGCTTGTAATGTTGAAAATGCCTCAAATTTTGAAACACATGAAATAGTTGAAATGCTTCAGACGTCTGAAAGTATAGAATGGTTTAAGTATATCCGAAAATCTATATAACGCATAAGAAATAGTTCCGAAATGTCAGAAATGTTCCAAACGACTGAAATGCTCGAAATTGTAATCACAAAAGTGCCATCTTACCATACAATATGTACGTGCATGCAATCATTCATGCATGCATATTCGCAGATGTGCAGATGTGCATATATACATATGTACATAAGTACAAGCATATATATACATATACCTATATAATCTATGCATACACATGCATATACACTCTTATATACATGTGTACAAATTTATATATGTATACATATATGCGTATGTGTATATATATATACATATACATATACATGTGGGCATAGATATATTATGTGTAAATGCAACCTGCGTAAATATACATATACATACAGTTACCTATAGTCTACATATACGTATGTGTATATATATATATACTGTATGAATGTGTATATATATATATACTGTGTAAATATAAATATGTTATCATATATATATACAGTATGTATATATATATATACAGTATGTATGTATATATATATACATATGACGTGTAGTTTGTATACGTGTTCAAATAAGTTATCATATAAATATATGAGATTATATGAGTTACATGCATACATTCGGGGATCTCTGGATCCTGGTTCCAACTGATGTCACCGGAAGGATATGTTTTACATTGATGAGTCCTTTCAACGCTTAATCATTTGAGAAGTTGAGCAGTGTCCAAGCCAAGTGCTTTTTACGACCTAAAAACAACGGCGTGGTAGCAGACTTCAGACTTCTCTATTTCCGGTCCAGTCAGATAAGCCTTCAAATCATTCGGGCACTGGTTTTCCATGTTTCAAAACTTTCAACCCCCAATCAGCCAGCTTGGTTCTCTGCGGAGATTCGGTGGAGCCGATGGCACTGGAGGCGCCTCGTGAAAACCAACAACCCAACTCCAGTCCAATGAGCTTGGAGGTTTGATAACGTCTGTGATAAAGACATGAAGTATCATGATATATCATGATCATGGCATTCATTTCGAAACCCTTTGATCTTTGGTTTTGAGGCACTTGGTTTCGAACAGTGTACCACGAGCTCCCTGGCCCCTGCGGATCATCCGGTCGGGACTTCACAGCAGAATCCCCTTCTCCAAATTGCTGCTAGAACCACCAAAACCACCAAGAGTTGATTTACCAAATTTACCATAGGTCACCTTTGGGGGGTTAAATATGGTTAAATCCCACTAAAATTGACTTGAAAAGTCTATGCGCTGAGATCAACGAGGGGCCATCAAATTCGCTTCACTTCCAGGCCTGCCAACTGTCTCCTCCAGAAATGATTTCAAGGACTCTGTGTTCAGCCAAGGGTGTGCTTGATTTGGTGAATGTCGCTGAATCATGCTGAATCTGTCTATTGTCAGCTTCCTGGTTTCGAGGCTGTCTAAAGTTTCTTCCAAGACTTGGAAGCAACAAGAATGTCGCACTTCAAGTTTGTAGTTCTTGGAGCTCAAAGACCCTGTATCACCTTCGTCGCAGGTCCTGTAGAGCTTCCAGGCCAGAGCACCCGACTGATGCCCATTGCAAGTTGTTCTGCGGGATCCACCTGCGGAGAATGAATTGGCTCATTTCAGTGGTTCAGACTGGAATCACTTGGTTTTCACCCCCAAAATATCTGGGAAAATGATGGATCCTCAGGAGCCTCAGTCCATGAACCCATGGGTTTTCCACTGATCGCATGACCCCCACCTGAAAGCCCGGTTGCTGGAAGAGCTGCGACTGAACTGGCTCCGGTGCTGCGTGAGCATAGTTCGGCCTCGCCACAGCTTTACGAAGGCTCTTGAGTCAGCCAGGTTTTGACCCAGATTTTGCCCACACATGTAGTATATGATCAAATGCACATGTGTATACATGTGTATATAAATATATATGTATATGTATATGTATACGTATATGTATACGTATATGTATATGTATACGTATACGTATATGTATATGTATACGTATACGTATACGTATACATATATATATATATACATATATGTAGATGTATATGTATACGTATATGTATACGTATACGTATACTTATACGTATATGTATATGTATACGTATACGTATACGTATATATATATATACGTATACGTATACGTATACGGATATATATATATATACACGTATACGTATACGTATACGTATACGTATGTATGTATGTATGTATGTATGTATGTATGTATGTATGTATGTCTGTGTGTCTGTGTGTCTGTGTGTGTATGTGTGTATGTGCGTATGTGCGTATGTGTGTAGGTGTGGACGTACGTATGTACACACGTACATAGGTAGGTAGGTAGGTAGGTAGGTAGGTAGGTAGGTAGGTAGGCAGGTAGGCATGCATGCATGCATGCATGCATGCATGCATGCATGTATGTATGTATGTATGTATGTATGTATGTTATGTATGTTATGTGTGTTATGTATGTTATGTATGTTTATGTATGTTATGTATGTTGTGTATGTCATGTATGTCATGTATGTCATGTATCTTATGTATAAAATGTATAAAATGTATATTATGTATCTTATGCATCTTATGTATCTTATGTATCTTATGTGTCTTATGTATCTTATGTATCTGATGTATGTTTTGTTATGTTATGTTATGTTGTGTTGTGTTATGTTATGTATGATAATGTATATCTATATATATACATATATATGATATAAGATATATATTTATCTTATAATATATATATATATACATATTATGCATATAATATAATATAGAATTGCATAGATGTGTTTCTGTTCTGAGTCCCCAGCTGCACAGGCTGTACAGTTTCACCTCGCTTCCCATGAAACTCAGGAAGTGCCCATGTCTCTTGAACAATTGATCCAACATCTGGATTTGTCAAGAAATATGGTATCTCCGAATATGTGCCATTTCAAATATTGGTGGAAATTGTGACTTTTTTATCACCAAATTTTGAGGTTCTCCATGAACTTTAGGGCAAACTCATATGATTGGTCTTGGAATCAGGATGCCTCCTGAGTTTCCGCCCCGATTCTGGTGTCACAACTGCCAAGGCACTGTACCAAGGCTGTTGGACATCATACCTTGTATCCAGGACTTCGAACATGTCGCGAAGCTTGGTGAATCTGAGGATAAAGAAACTGTTGCGCGGGAAGGGTGGTGCAAACATCTGAAACGTCGGCAGTCCAAGCCACATGTCCACAGTCGGCCACCCAGATGTGCCTAGCACAAAACTTGCACAGTGCTGTTGGTTCAGAATCTCTCTCCACATCACAACATATCACAACGATAACTTTCCATTCAGCCGCCTCGAGTCCAAGAAACCCATGAAGTTATAAAAGTGGGAACGACCGATCGATGATTAAAGATACTTGGCGGATCGTCCCAGTAAGCGGTGTGCACACAATGAATATCCGCTGGATGAACCAGCCTTGCCATCCGCTTTCAGCTTGATCAGTGTTCATGTTCTGGCAAGATGCGCGTCTCAAACACACAGGGGATTAGCCATACACTTGTGTCTTGAATACATTTATTCCGTTATTCCTAGCTGCTGCTCTACTCTTTGGCGTTGATACATGTTCACTATCCTATGACTATGCTCTGAGTTGTTCTGTCGTGAGTCGTGAATACCAAAACCTATCAAAGCTCTCTTTTTCTGCGCAAAAAAAAGACAAACAAATAATGAACGCCTGCTAATCTGATCCCTCACAAAATTCCCCTACATATCCGTTGAAGAATGCATCGTAAAAATTGCCAACTCATGGGGGCAGAAACTTTCAAGCTAGCGGGAAGGGCCGGCTGCGTGTAGTTTTCAGGACTGCACCTCAAAGACGATCATAGACTGCTTGGTCTGTGACCAGCACAAACCAACCCTGGGAGTTTACCTCTCCCAAGAGTTGCAAGGACTGAAGCTAGATTCATCATGATTCAAGACCTTGATGGGAAAGGATACGTACATTAAGGTACTTGCTTCCTTGCCCCAAATGTGTCTGCCAACAGTTCTGTGCAACTCACTCGTGTTCCTATCCAAACACCTGTTTCTGTGCCCAGTGGCGCAAGCAACATGCGCGAATCACGCGAAAAGGTGTCAGATCCCTAAAGATCTATTACTTCGACGGCCGATCACCGCTGATCGGCTTGAGCAAATTTGGTGCATCTGCGAGTCCAGGATATGAATTCGTCTGAAAAGCAGTACCTCTAAATCCCGTAATCCCGTAACTCCGCTGATTAATCATGATGTTCTCCGTTAAAAAGCCAGGTCTGGAATGGTTCGGATATGTTTGTGGTATCCACCGTATCCTCAGTTTCAGAAGCACCTACAGTTGAAGCTGCGACAGTCGTCAGTCGAGACAACCACTCGGTGACCAACCCCCTCTGTCAATCACGCTCAGTCCCTGGTATGCAGTCGATGTGTTGTCATGTCAATAATCACCACATACTGACATACTACATTACTACATCGAAACACCATACTGTACTCTTGGCTCCTGCCTACAATCTCTGCAGTATGAACATCGAGGGCCTTTCTCTTTGATTCCAGGCACCCAGCTAGCTGAACCACCGACACTACACAAATCATGGTAGTTTTGCCAGCCCAGAACGCGGATCGGGTCTTCACCAAACATAGAAACAAAGGCATTGTACCAAAGCATCTGGTGTCCTTTCTCCGTGAAGATTGAAAGCTGAACCTATTTGAGCAGAGTTCAAAACCCGAAATGGCATTCCATTCGACTGGTTTGCTAATAGGGATTCCCAGTTCATGGAGGATGAGAACCTCCCAGTATAATCCCCTGTATCATCAACCAACAGGGGTTTAGCAGCCAATGCTCATGTAGACATATGCAGACTAGCGTGTCCAAAGTGCCCAGCAAATTCCATCCGCGCCTTGCAAACGTCACCTTCTCTTAAGAACAAGGCTTTTCTCGCAGGACCTCAGGTTTCAGTGCTGTCAAAGAAGTGGCTCTTACGACTCTTACCACAGAAAGAGCTAAGACAAGCCAATGATGCCAATGGTCGCCAAAAAAACGAAGATCCAACCAGATTCTCATCTAGTCGGTCAGCTTGCGTTCTTGCGCAGGTTGCGAGCGAAATTGCAGAGCAAGTCCACCAAATCACTTGGCCGAAGGAATCTTGAGCCAGGAACTCAGGAACAAGTCAAGAGGATCCTTGCATCTCTGCAAGCAAATAGTCCTAGTCATCTAGTCCCAGCAAGCCGGGTATATTGAAGATGCACTATCTGTACCAATCAGAAAATGTCCCACCAATGAAGGGCTGTCTGAACATGGAGGTACCCCATTCCATCCCATATTCCCCAAATGCTAACGGCTAACGGCCTTAAAAGAAGAAAACGGGCCAATCCCCAATCAAAAGGGACAAACCCAGTTCCATTGTGACCCATTCATTGTCAACATGTTTCTGTTCGTTTTCCCCGTCCAGTCAAACACTAGTTGGTTGATAGGTATATCCGTTAATTAATCATGGGCTACTATAGTCTAGTATAATGATCCCCAATCAACCAGGTAATATAGCCACACAGACCCATATAGTAACTCCAAGAGCGTTCAGAAAAGATTCTAAAAAATCTTCAATTTCCCACTGTTAGAACTTCACTTTGCCAATCAACCAAGCAACAAAAAACTATTATAATAACATCGTATAAACATACATCAACATACATTACAGTAACGTACATTGACATACATTAATTATGCCAGTTGTTATTGGCACTATTATTAACATACATTAACATACATTACAGTAACATACGTTAAGATACATTAATTATGCAAGTTATTATTGGCACTATTATCACCATACATTAACATACATTACAGTAACATACATTAACATACAATTAATTATGCCAGTTATTATTGGCACTATTATTAACATACATTAACATACATTAACATACATTAACATACATTAACATACTATTGGCACTATTATTCACCTGTGCCATAGATCTTCCCAATCAACCAGGTGCCACAGCGCCTAAAATGTCCCACCCATAGAGCTCCGGCGTTGAGCTCCGCAATGATGGCGCCCAGCTCCGCTTCGTAGCGGCACACCTAGCGTCGAGTCGATGAAAGATTGGGATGGGTAGATGGCGAGCCAATGTTAGATAATGTTATTTTAAGATGAATGAATGATAGATTATAGATGAATGATAGATTATAGATGAATGATAGATTATAGATGAATGATAGATTATAGATGAATGATAGATTGTAGATGAATGATAGATTATAGATGAATGATAGATTATAGATGAATGATAGATTATAGATGAATGATAGATTATAGATGAATGATAGATTATAGATGAATGATAGATTATAGATGAATGATAGATTATAGATGAATGATAGATTATAGATGAATGATAGATTATAGATGAATGATAATGACAATTGATGTTAGATAATGTTAGATGGTCATAGATGATACATATTAGATATTGATGGATAATTTAATAATGTATCATGATCCTCTTCAAATTCTCAATGACTTTGACCTGAATGTTGCTACATCCAGCTGGCGCGCACCTCACTATCTCGTGCCTCCAATGCCCTCTTGAGAGTGGAGACCTGCCAGCCAGGCTACCACAGCTTGAGGGCGTCTTCGTTAACTCACTTGGCTATGTATATTATAATATATATTAATATATATATATATATACATATAGCAGCACACTTTAAAACACTGAAATACGATGCAAATACCTTTCAACACTTCCAACAGTTCTAACCACTCTCTCATGTCCCAATCTAGTATTGAAAGAAACCGGGGAGCAGCATGGTGCCTCCTCGAAACTTACATGAGACCTCCACCTTCGCATGTAGCTAACTTGGCCCACGAAAGCAGAACACATGGCCTCGTGGTTCTTCACGTCCAGCTCCGCTCTCAGGGCAATCTCAGACTTTCGTGCAGCAGCTGACTGTATGGCCTGGTTAACACGGATCTGCCAAGGTGGTTGAGATTCTTGAGAGGCAGTAGAGGATAGAAATGACGAGAAGCAGAGCCATTCTGTACGAGAAATGGATAGAAATGGCTCCAACTTCTAAAACTGCTGCTCCAAATTTTGGCACAAAACATAGGCAAGCCGTCGACTCTGCAACCCAAGAAAATGACAGAAACCCAAGCAGGAAACTATTCCTTTGCTCCATCTCAGCCTTTTTACACACCATTTTCATGATATTCCCACTATATGGGTGTATCTGAAAATGATCACCCATTCCATCCACTGATTAATCATCATCTTCCCCTGTATCTCAATGGCCATAAACTGGCGATGGCGCTCATTTCCAGACACACCCCAAGATCATGAGTCAAGTTGGTCTCATATCCCACATGTTATCCAATCATTTTCAAATCCAATTATAGCAATTTCCTACAATTTCCCAGTAAATCTTCCCATGTTGTATCATATCCTCCACCTTTTTTCGTCGCCTGCTGTTCCAAAACCTTGCTCTCCAGCATTGCAACTTCCCCCTGTAATCGCCGCACCTGGGAAAGCCAAGCATTGAGAAGTTGCGAAAACGGTGGTTTTAATGGACGTACAAGTTGTCTGTTAACCCCAGAAGTTGGGATGCAGAGTTGGGATATAACTTACATTGATATAACTGAGAAAAAAAAACAACTTAAACTATGGCATAAGTGGCTAATTGTGGCCATAGCCACTTGTTTTTTGTGGAACTGCACCTGCAAGTAGTAAAACCCAGCTACAACTTGTACCAGCTAAGCGCAAGTTGGCTTTTCCATGTAACTCTGAGCGTGCTGACAGCTTGAGATGGTCCTTCAGCACCCAAGATAGCAATCTGACCAGGGTCGACTGTGGCATTGAGGCAAACCAAAGCAATCAGTGTCTCTCTGAGTATCAAAGTGTGCAGACAGTGGGCACAGACAGAGAGAGAGATATATATATATATAATATTGTTTCTAAAGATGTCAAAAAAAAAATCACGAATCTGATGAAATCTGATCGATACGGGAACTTCTCAACAAAAAGCAATGCCCACCTCACGAGCCTGTTCTGCAGATCTTACCTTCATAAGGACAGCAGGTTCTTTTCCATGTTTCGGCGCAATATGTGAAGCTTACAAACCCAGCCAGCATGAGATGCAAACCCTCTATCTACTCTATCTCAAAATATGTCCAACTGTCCAAATGTATTTCCCACCTCCTGCCGATGCAATTGATCATGCAACCGACGGCTTTCCGCTTTTGCCTGACCAATGCTCAGTACACTTGCACCCATCAACAGCTGCGGGAAAAAAAACTCTCAGTCTGGCAGTGGTCCTTTACAGTTTTGTGTTCCTCACTTTGTTCGTTCTTTTTGGCAAAGTAGGTCACCACGACCTTCCAAACAGCACAGACACCTCTTCCAAACGCGATTGCCACTCTGTTTCCAGGGCTTCAAGCCGACCATCAGCCTGAGAGATATCATAAGAAGCAGTGGATAGACTGTGGGAAACTGACCAATGGCGTCCAATGCTTCCACCCATCCCGTCTTTTTGTAATGTGTTTAGTCACTGTGGATCGTCGTCCCAATAGCAGCGCTGCAAAATGTCAATCCACCGAGCACCTTCTTGACTGAATGCATCGCCACTGCCTCCAGAAATTGGAAGAATTCACAGGGATCTATGGGCTGATGCCTCTGGTCATCGATTCCTAAACAGCCACTGAGTTTTTGTGCAGCAGAATCTGTTGCCAACACATCAGCAGAGTCGCTGTTTTGGAGATCTCAACTTATTTTTCCATTTGTCAGCTGGGCCGCACAGGTCCAGCTGCGACAATTGTTGAGGGCATTTAAGGAGCTGAAAGCACTGGACTGATGGCCCTGGAAGGACTCACAGCTATTGCACAGCTCAGGACAGCAATTTTTGGCAGTTCAATCCCAGTTCCCGTCCTGAAAATTGTAATTTCATGTAATTTCATTGACAACAAGACAGGTCACATCCCCCGAAATTCAAAACCGACTCACGGGACCCGGGAACGAACAAGACATGGCCTCTTTCTTATTCTGAGATATCCTTAGGCCACTTCAGGCTGGGGCCCTTTGGCCCCTTCTGTCTCAGGAAGCTCTTCGGCTTCACCCTCCATGTCCACCGGGTCCACCCACTTATACTGCTTGGACTTCTGAATCCAACCAGTGACTTGTCCATGCTTGGATGCTGCCTCGGTGCAACGACGAATGATTTCAGTGGAGCTGAGAGGATCAGCTTAAGTCACCCCCATTCGAAATCACCCACAGTTTGCCTAGCCCCAAAATCCCAGGACGATGGACTTCCCATAGAGTTGGATGATGGAGAAACCCCGGACTAAGAAACTCCGTTGAGTACAGCAATTGGCGGGACTTACCCTGTAAAAGATGAATCCATGTGCTGTTCAAATGGGATTCCCCTAGGAATACACTGCTGGGCTCATGAATCAAAATTTGATCGTTTATCATGATAATATGTTCCCCATCATAGCCATCAATTGGGTGCTAATCCATTAATTTGTTGGGCAAACCCACAGATCACAGCATGTTTAGTTCTGTATGCTATGTTACATCCCGTTCCATAATCATACCGTTCGTGAATATTCCCACAAAATATCTCCTCATATCCCTGTAAACTCGGTTTTTCCCAGGAACAAAACAAAAAAAATAGTAGTGTACATCCCCCCCCGCTATACATTCCCAATAGTATTATATATATATATCCCTCCGGGGCAGACGTTCGCCCAAGCCCCATCCATGACACCAGGATCCACACTATCAACCCCATCTACATCGTGAATCCACGTTGGCATCCCTGCAGGAGCCCCGCGGTGGCTTCCGACGGTGATCCCCCTCCCCGTAAGGGGAGGGGCCGATCCAAAAATCATCAAAAAAACAAAACACGCTAGGAATTCTATCTTTTTGAGGTCCCCCATGTTTCAATTTTATTTAAAAAACCAACACGATCCGAAATTCAGTCCCGCAACTGAGAACGCGATCTCCGGGCAAAGGTCGGCCCCCACGCGATATATATATATATACGTATGTATATATATATATATGTATATATATATATACATATTATATTGTAATATATTGTAGTAAAATAGATTATATTGTATTATATCATATCATAATATATATATATATGTATATATACACACATGTATATCCATGAAATCCTCCATGTTCGTTGATTAAGTCCCCCAATCAGCTGCTACTTCCAGCCAGGTCGCAGAGGCGATGGAGCTGAAGTTCGGCCGTTTCTTGCCTTTGACAAAGCGACCAGATGCCAACAGATCCACATAGAGTTGGATAGATATTGCAATATGCAATACACTGCAATACATATACTGTAATATGGTGCAATATAATAATGTAGTGTAGTGCAGCGCAGTGCAATGCAATGCAATGCATGTAGGTCCAATGTAGGTATGTATATAGATGTATATATATATACATATATTTATATATATATATATTGATGTTCGATATAAATACCACTATACCATATTGTGTTTTTGAGGATGTGGATGCATATATATATATATACATATTAGTATTACGATTGTTAGTATTATTATTGTTATTATTATGATTATTATTGTATATATCTATATATACATTTGGATGCGTAGTGTATATATATATATACATGTATGTATATATATATATATATACATATATAATATATATATATATCATATATATATAATATATTGTCTACATGTGTACATAGATATATAGCTCTGGGTATCTGGATATCTGTACATAATATCTTTATCGATGTATATATGTATGTATGACTATGAGGTATGCCTTTTTACTGCCCCCTAGTGGATGAGGAAGGGTGAACTGCAATGAGAAGTTTCAATAGTTTATCCTCAAGTCACAAAGGGAGAAGCTGAACCGGGCATCTGCATCTCACATAAATCTGGACTTTTGTCGTCTCCGGGATGTCGCCATTGGGATGTTCATGTCCATTCAAGACTATCTAGCATTGTCTGACAAAAGGGTCAAACAGAAACATTTTGTCACATTTTGTCATGGCCATTTTGGAAGGTAAATCCTCCATCTTCAGACCGCGTCCTGTCATTTCTTCGTGTCCAGCGACCTTGCCATTTTGGGAAGTACTGAAGCTGCAGCGCGAAGTTTCCGAAGACTACCTCCATGATCTCGTCGGAGCCCTCACAAGGTCTCCGGGACCAAAATCATGACTTGAAGCAATACATCTGAAAGTATTATATATATACACATATCTATATAAATATTATAAGTATTATAAATATAGATAAATATAGATATATATATATATAGACAATTATAGACATAGGGTGGAATACACCATATTGCACCTTCCACAAATGACCGCTGCTACGCTGTACCTCGATGCGACGCCACTGCCCTGGTCCGCGGTCAGTCTCAAGCACACCAGCATGGCCGAAGATGAACCACCCACTGGCCTGGAGAGGTAGCATACCGAGGGTATCAAACAAACAACGGGGTGATAACGGGGCAACTGTAGATTTATATATATATATATTCTATGTCAGATATGTATGTAGATATAGAGGTTATAAACAACTATATGATACATGATAATTGGTGATGTTGTGTGTATAAGTTGTATAAGTAACACTATGATGTTTGGTGTGTGTGTGTGTGTTTATATATATAATATTATATATATGATGTATATGTCAACATGTGGTATAAACCCCCGAACAAAATGAAATGTTTGAAATGGAAAATGATGGAAATTTGAGACAAAGCCATCTAATCCCATACCCATGTGGCATCAAGTCCGCCTACCCGAGGGGCAAAGTAAGGAAGGCCCTATCATTCAACATTATCCACTTCGACCGTTGATCTCTGTGGGAATCGTGAAATCCAAAAGTTCTGGATAAACTGTCATCATCTGTCATCGTTCAACAACCTGAACGAAATTGTTTTGTTTGTTCGCATTCACTGCGAGTGCGCGCCCAGATTTCTCGAAACACGGACCTCATGGGACCTCATCCACGCAGGAAGGATCAAGATTTCGTTGTCGTTGAGCTGAAAAGAAGTCTACTTGGGATGATTCCTTCTCACCATTTACTAACCATTTACTAACCATTTACTAACCATTTACTAACCATAATTTATGTAATCTATATACACATTGTCACAATCTCTTCTGGTCCTGTTGAAAGTCTCGAAGGCCGAACAGCCACCCCAAACAGGCACCTTGAGCGACAAAGATTCCTTGGTAGGATGGAACACCACCGGAGATCAGAACTCGGAGCAAATTGCTGGGTGGTAAGAACTTATTAGGATGTTTTTGGGCACAAAAAGACGAAATGCATCGAAATGCATCATGGTTTTTCAAGATCATGTACTACGCCACTACTCGACCGATTGTAACATGACATGTCAATGATTCCAAGCTCCAAATCTTGCCAAGAATCAAACATCCAAGACCTTGGGCATTCGCACTTTCCCACCACTAAGCTGCGCTTGCAGCTGCTGTAAATGGTTATGGGTCCAAAATATTCCAAAATGGGGTACCCTCGTGAACATCAGAATAGCTGGCAAAAGGATGTGCATCCCCTAAAATATGGCAGAGTATCATGGGTTTTGACCCGCCCCCACCTCGCTTTGCTTTGTACAAAGCATGCAATGCGTCCGCAAACACAAACGCTGGAGGTCAGCCACTGCGGGAAAGTTCAACCATCCAAATCCAGCTAGAAAATCCAGCTATCCCCTCTCGGTGACGTACTTGACCTAGGCTTGGAACATCTAAGGTCTAACATCAACTTTTGCCAAAGCCATCGTCCAAGTAGCCTGTAGCCCGAGGCATGCCAAACGCCAAGCTCATCTGCCGTGGCCAAGCCATCTGAGGGGCCGCTGCACAGCTGTTGAATGTGGCTCTTGGATTTAGTTCACCTACGGAGTAACTATGGAAATGTCTGGGATACTGCAAATAAACCTCCAGAAACAAGGTCTTTGATAGTCTTTGGCTCTTAGGTTCAACCCTGCTGAAACGCATTCCGTGCATTGCTTGCAGCAAAGCGACAAGTGGGCAGTTCCAGCTCCTGACAAATTGGGACTTTAAACTTTGACAATGCACGTGTCTAACCTTGAAGGTCCACGGCATAGCCTGGCATGGCCTATCTACTCCTGTGGGCATGGATCAGAACACTGGTACTCTTCTGGAAATGATTTGGTGTTCTTGGTGGTTCAACTCTATATTTGTTGGCGATTAAAACTATTAAGACCTGTCAAAGCGCAATCTTTGCCACTTCAATCTTCCAAGTCACTTCTTGAAAACCTAAGTTTCACTGTGAAAAAAAACATGTGTTTCACTTTTGTCTTGAAATTCCCCTGGTCCTCTTTCTTCACTCGTCGTCCCCTGCCACCTTCTGCCACCTCCTGCAGCTTCGAGGTGGTGACATCCTTTGGTACTGCTGTTGCTGTTGTGATTTTTTGCATTTCTATTACTACCGTATATTGCCATCACTGTTATTATATGTTATTGTATGCTATTGTCACCATCCTTGCCATTCAAACGATGATTATGAACTATCATTGACGGTTAACGTCATGTTTATCATGTGTCATTGTTGTCCGCATGTTTATCATTGACATTAACACCATCATTATCATTATAATCATCATTATCATCATGATCATTATCATGATCATTATCGTTAGTGTGCAAAGAGAAAGCCTGCATATGCTCAAGAATTCAGCTCACTGCATCATAATTCTGAACATGATGAGCGTTCAACCAAAGTCAATCCGATCCCAACACCTTGCAGAGCTATCTTCTACCTTAAGATTGATCTGGGGTTTCCCAAAACTCGGGATTACCCCCAAGTGCCATCAAACTTGGGTTTTCTGAGTTTTCTGCAGCTTCCCCATAAAAGTTCAAACAGACCCACCGGTGCAGCTCCCGTCCTCAGCGATCCGCTTCAACTCTGGTGGAACTGGTTGCTCCGTGACTTCAAGGTGTGTGACCAAGTCCTGACCCGTTAAGGTCAGCTGTTTGCTTCCGGGATGATTGATGCGCTATGCGCGCTTTGCGCGCTATGGTCTTGCTGAAACATCAACTTAAGCACACAGGGTGTGCTCAGATATGCTGTAAGAATATTTTTCGACAAATTCTGGGCTTTGCTTTGCACACAGGGTTTTCTCTCTACTTGGAAGAAAGAAAGTACAGGCCTCTGCCAGATTTGGAAGACAATCAGCGTACTCAAAGAAGCAGATTGCCTGACCCTGACAGCAGGCTGCAGAATGATTAAGAAATTCCATCCAACAAAAAACGAGCAGGCCGGGGCCAATCCACATGTGACACGCGCTTTCTCTGTTCCCTCCCAGTCAGTAAAAACGATCAAGAAAGGCAAATCAAGCGCGAAACACAAGGCACAGCAACGTTTTGACCACTGAACCAGCACACGAGCAGGGCCTGTCCATCCATCCCACGAGCAGTACGCCCAATTCTGTGGATGTAATCATCAATACACCCCGGCATGTCAAACACGAAGACATGCGTCCTTAGTCATTTGAAGACTCTCGACGTGTATGGGTTGAGCATATGTCATCTCCATCACAGCCAAAATTTCCCGCCTTCAGACAAAAAAGAGCAGAGTGGAACAAAAAATCAGGATTTGGAAGGGATAGAATGCACAGAATGCATTGGATTATATTGAATTGATACAATGAGTGGGGTCACTATTGGAGGTGCATGATCAGCTGATGCATCCGCGCAAAACTGCACCCTGCTTCCCTCCATGGTTAAAGGATCTTTGAGGACGTGTAAAAGGATTAGTCAGAATTTCACATGAATGGTCGCAGCACCTTTGAAGGAAATTCTCATAAGAAGCCATGACTACTTGATCGTCGCACCCTGCTTCACTTCGCACCAATTCTCATCTGCATGTCGTGTCAATGTCAAATTTCAGCTCAATCTTCAACCTCCATTATTTAATAGTAAATACACTATACATACATAGTTTTAAAAAAAATGTGCATAAGTTTGAGTTACAGTAAATTAAGATCTCACTAGGTTGCCTCCATGATTGGTGCATCTTTGGCAGCCGTGGCGCACGTTGGGCAAGTCGATGCCGCGCCCCAGCACATCGGTCGCCACAAGCACATTGGGAGCTTGCCTCACAGGGTCCGGATATGGATGGGACCAGATTAAACGCAGTATGTGAACAGAATCTTGGCAAATCCACCAACTGCACTTGTTTGGTCTGTTTCACTTGAGTCCACTTGCGTCCATTGGGATGCACAGAAAACTCTCGCTCAAGACACTAAAGTGTATTTATCACACAGACAACAATACTGGACGATTTATTTATATATATATACATAGTCAATGATATCATGCATATTGTTCTTCATTTGTAGTTGAGAGACTTTAACAAACATGTGTTCTTGATTTCAGAAAACCAATCGGGCATCAAAAAAGCAAACCCTTTTTTTTAATCAAGCTTAGCGAGTAAAGTAGGAATGTGGGTCATTGTGTAGCCAGCCCCAGACTATGAAACCTACAACTTGCTGACCAAGATTCTCTTCGCTGCTGGTAAATCTTTCGAGGTTGTAATTACGCTCCTTGCCATCACACTAACATCATACATCAGCGTCAAGGCACGTCTTGAAACCAAACTTGAATGAAATGTGTGTTTTGTATACCGTGCAGACTGTCTGCATCATCAAGAGCATGACACTCTGTCACGGAGCCAAACGCACAATTTCTTCGCAAATTCCTGTGTTTCTTAGAGGAGATATATCACATGAGAGTCCAGCTTCTATATATATATATACACGTATATATATATATATATACGTATATTATATATATACGTATATATATATAATACGTATATTATATATATATACAGGTATATAATATATATATATATATAATACGTATATTATATATATAATACGTATATTATATATATATATATATACGTATATATATAATATATGTGTATATATATATAATATTATATATATATAATATAATATACATATACATCTATATATATAGCTCAATGATGCTCAATGGTATCTAATTGTCCGAATTAACGTCCACATTCAAGTTGCTGCGCACATAATCCGCTTCCTACTTGCATGTGCCCACTTAGCAAGGCACCACCTCAACAGCCATGCTCCTGCTGTGCCTTGCCCCCATGCAACGAAAGAGCTTCGCAACCTAGCCATGCATAAAGACCAGCAGAGTGAATTGAAGAACTCAGAGATGGTGGAGACACGTGGAGACTATACAAACAAACTTTGCATCCCAGGTATTCCCAGGTACATGAACTTACCTCCCATGAGATTTGAGGTCATGATCACTCCCCCGCATCGCACGGCATGCGACCTGACAAAGCAAACTGATCTAACCTCGTGCCCAAATCAGAAAACGAAACAGGATTGCAATCACGTTCCTTTCATCCCTGAGAAGAGTTTGCTCCCCCACCTCTGTCCGCAAGTTGAGCCACCACTGTATCCTGAGCACGGGTCGCAAGTCATTCAGCGCTGCAAATGCACCCAGCTCCCAGCATTGCAATGTCCAAAGTGTTTGGTTTTGCCGTTTTGCCAAGCAGCGGCCAATTTCTTTGTTGTGCAAAAGACCAAGGCTTTCCCAAAGGCCACGCATTTTGCATCTCCAGTTTCTTCACTTGTGCCCTGCTCCAGAGCACCTCAGCGAGGATCGAACATCAAAACAAAGTCACCTAAGCGCTGAGCCATTGGATGGACTTCGAAAACGACAAAAAACCATACAAAACCAATCAAAACCATCCTCGGAGATCTTTGCTGGACCAAAAATGACTTTTTCTGGGCCGAGCTTCTCAAAAGCTCGAGAAGACGCGCCAATTTTCGCTCTTCTCGCTTTTCCTGTTGCACCAAGTTCAGCCGATATACCCTTTACAAACCATTCTGAAAAGGTGTTGAGGATCATTGTATGCACATTTCCACATTCTGATCTTCACTCATCCTAAATTATTTGGAGATCTGCCACAACCAAGTGGTCGTGGGCTGTGTCCTCGCTCTCGTCATCGTCGAAGACCTCAACGATCTGCCGAATGTTCCTTGGGCTAGACGGCTGGACATGCTGACTTGGTTCCACAACCTATGGCAGACTCTGGAGAGTGGAACACATAGTGAATGAACAACGGCTTCTTGTCAACATCGCAAGCGACATGAGCCCTGTATCTGTGACCGAGATTGCACAGTAATTACCAAAGCTGCAGAGGTTCCGAGGGCAAGCTGACACGCTACCTGGCACAAGAATGCTGAGCACATGCATCTGTAGCAATACTGAAGCACCGTTGAAGCTGATTGGAAGGTCCTAAAAGATCAAATGTTCACCTTGGAAGGAGTGAAGTCCTGTCCGTGCAGAGCTTCCCGTACAGAATTCTGTTTGATCAAAGTTGGCAAAACCCCGAACTGCCGCTCCCGCGGTCAACCTTCTTGCATAGTACCATTCTCGCCAATCTGAATCACTACCTAAGCTTTTGAGCTGTACTGCGGGCCCTGAGAGCTAAGCAGAAAAACTGGAGAATCAAATGCAATGACGCAGTTGTCTGGGCACCAACATCAATCTTTCGGTTCGCACAACTGCACCACTGTTTCAACACATCACAAGTCACTCAAAACTCCGCGCAGTGGCGCAGTGCAGTCACAAGTGACGGGTGTGTGACGGCAAAACCGTCTGGCTTGCTCACCCACCTGTCAGAACATGACTTCCCAGAACAACCCCTTGATGCGAAGCATGCATGGTTAATAATGATGATCAATGATGATTATTGGGATGTTAATGATGATCAATTGTTATCAATTGTTCATAATGATGGCTAATGATGATGAATGATGAATGGTGAATGTTAATAGTGATGGGTTTTTTTAAGGGTCAACCGGTCAACCCAACAGCTGCGGACTGCGGAACCTTCTCCTCCCGCCAGGTGGCCGAAAAGAAAAGCGTCTGTCGCATGTGCGCCGTGCGCAGGGCCTTTCGTCGCATCTGGTGAAGTGCTGCACAGATGGTCAATGTGCTGCACAAGAAGACATTGATTCAACTTACAAGTGTATTATGTTATTATGTGTATTGATGTGTGTAGATACAATATATATATAGAGAGAGAGAGAAGAGAGATGAAGAGAGAGAGAGAGAGAGACAGGGCTACAAACACTCACGCAGTCTGTTCATGCTGGATGTATACACACAGAAGCAATGTCATTGTTCACGTTGGATGTATTCACAAAGAAGCAATGTCACACTACTTCAGCGCATGTATTCCCATGTCAACGAACACGCTTGAAGCCACATAGCCTTGCTAGCACAACATGAAATTGACCAAAGATAGGGTACCCAAAAATCCGGTGGTGCTCATGGCTGATCATCATATTCCGCAGATCGCCACAAAGTGGCGATAAATAACCCACTATTGGACAAGCCCGCACATTCATGTTGTATCTAGCCATTGTAACCCGTAGTTAACCCCCACTCTTTTTCCTGTCCCCGGGTCATTTTGGCGGTTAGTTAGAAGACTACTTACCTCTAAAGAAATGGGTGATTCTCAGGGTCTATCTTGGTTCAGGGATGGCAAATCATATCAAGTTGGTGACGAATCCCGTTTTATTTGATATCTTTACCCCATTCTTTCCCATCATATCCCATCAACTTAATTTAAAGTTCCCTTTTTTAACAAACCCATCCGCACAACTGGGTCACCCGGCAATGCCATCCAGTTGGTCGCCTAGCCCCTCCTCAAGCATCCTGCAACTGCACCGTATGTACTGGCGATATTCATTGGGAAGTGTGTGCGTATATATATATATATAATTATATATATAATTATATATATATATAATTATATATATATAATTATATATATAATGCGTGTGTATGTATATATATATATACATATACATATGTGTCTATATGTATATATGTATATATGTATATGTGTATATGTATGTGTATATATGTATATATATGTGTGTATATGTATATATGTGTATATGTGTATGTATATATATATATACATACATACATACATGCATGTGTTATATAATATGTATATATATATATATATTATATCTACGTAATGTATATATATATATATATTAATGTGTGTATGAATAGCCAAATTGATGTGATTTCTTGGTGTGTCTGAAAATAGGGTATACCGTATACCGGTATACCCCCAAGTTATGGCAAGTTAAATCAGGAAAATGATGATAAGCCATCCGATCTGGATGGAACTACTACCAATTTTCTGGGTGTGTGGCTTCGACTCATACGAATTTCCCCAGTGCGTGTGCCAAGTTTGGATCGAACTGTGCAAGGTCTCGGCACCAATGCTGTGAGTAGACATGGCTGATTCAGACAGCATTGCCAAATCACTCATTCGATTGGTTTAAGTATGTTTAAGTGAAAATCTACGGGAAACCATAGTTGTTACCTCCAATATGTCTGGGGGGTCTGGGGGGCTCCTGCAAATGTTCCCTTCGAACCACCAGTCCTATCACCTTCATCGAGCACCAAGACTCGCACACTGGCCAAAGGCTCACGGCCTAACGGCTGAGTGGCCAAGCATTTCGCCCATGTTCAACTCATCTTACTGGGATGATTAGCAGTCATGGTAGTCATGATGGAATTCGGGTAGCGTATGTTCAAACAAACCCAGATGCGGCTTGATGTGTTCTTGCCCTAAGGACTGGGAAAATTGAATAATCTGCGGAAGTTAAGGCTAATTCCCTGTGTGTCTCACCTGTGGAGTGCAACCCTCTGTGGGCCATCAGTGAACTGCTCACCTTCCTCTTCTTCTGCACAAATGAGATCCAATAGCCGTCCGGGCGCAGCACAAACAATCCAGCTACCACTTCCTGCGTTGCGGCCATCACTGGAGCGGCGTCTTCAGAAATTCAGCTTCGGCTTTGCTGAAAATGTGGCCCGCCCTGAAATTCCACTCTTCAAAAAACAGTGGTTCCAGTGGTTCCATCTTTTCCTATTTCACTGGTAAATTGAGGATTAAGGTATCCGAAACACAAATTGAGGGGTTGACCTGGGTTGAATCCTCCTCTGCCGAGAGGCCTGGTGCATCTCGGTGGCTGCCATAGCGCAAGTGCTTCTGTTGCTCTGGACGTGAGCCACCACCCCAGATGGAGACAACTGAGATGCGTTGCCTTGCGCAATGCATCAGAGATTGGCATAGAAGCGCCAAAATGCTGGTTTTTTATTATATCTTCATATGTGGGATTGAACCATCACACAATCAAAAACGGATCCCTTGAATGTGCAATCCATCTTACTTGCATCCTTCCACCGAGCCAATCTACGAGACTGCAGCACAAGACTATTGCATTGCATTTTCTGCATCGGCCAAATGTGTTTCCTGAGCTGCAGGCTCCAAGTCATCTACTCCAAATCCAGAGTCTTCATCCTGGCAGTGAACAGTTGATCCACCAACAGATCACGCAGGGTCATGTGCAATGCCAAGAGTGCAATACGGAAAGCTGCCTTCCCCAAAAGAGCATTTCCACAGGCGGCTACTTGCATTGCCAATTCCTGGGTTGCTCACAATCGACCCAAGCGAGTGCAGCCAACAAATGTTCTGATCAGGGTAAAAGCCTTCGCA